AAGAAAAGAAGAGGGGGGAAAACGAGGTGCGGGGGTGAGGTGAGGGGGGCGGGCTGAACGGAGTGGACTAGAAATGAAGAAAGGGAGAGGAAGGCGAAGTCAGCAGAGAGGAAAAAAATGAATGTATTTTACAGAGACAAGGAAGAGAGTCTAGAAAGCTCACTTCCCTTTTTGCCCTCATATTCAGCCCTTTTCCTGTGTGTGTGTGTGTGTACGTTTATGATGACAAGACGGGCAGGGCCGGTCGTCGCAATGATGGATTCTCTGAGCCACATACTCAGCTTACTCAGTTTCACCCCCCCCCGACACACACACACACACACACACATAAATATACAAAACACACAAACTCCTTTTACACTGAAGGAATCCTTTAGGAATAGAGAGCAGTGACTAAGAAAGAAGGAGGACGGCTGTCTATGTCATTATCACAATAAATCACTGTCATTGCGATGGCAAACGCGCCTTACATAACCAGACAGCAGCCGAAGCTTTGCTTTAACTTGACAACGCGCACCTTGACAACACCTGTCCTGACGCTGCTCCCTGCTACCATCTCCCTCCATTTTCAAGCACATTTCATAAAATTTTATAGGTCTGAGTTAAAAGCAGAGCTGCGCTATGCGGCTCCCACTAGACTTGACGCTCCGCAACAGAACAAAGTGCCCGTTCAGCCGGTGTTTATGTACGGCCGTTTGTCCTCGGTGTGAAGATCCTCATGATAAACCGAGGTGACAGGCACCAACCCCTGCAGCACTAACTCACTGCCCATTACCCTGTATCTGTCTGAGGGTGTGTACCTGTGTGCTTGTGTGTCTGCCTGCGAGAACAATAAAACAAGCATGGTGGATTGTCGTATTAGGAGCCAGTCCTAACTAAGAAACCTTATGCTAATCAAGCCTGAAGAAGTTGTAATTGCAACAATGCCAGCAACGCTAAAAGAAACAATAATAATCTTGCCTCATCGGTCTGAAAATTGAGAACCTGTAGATGTGCATGATTAACCCAAATGAAATGACAGAGCTCTGTACTGTCATTGGAGGAAAGTCATCTCCTCATACAGGGAGTGGTGATGAAACACTGAGGTGTCTGGTATGAGGGCGGTATAAGAACTGCAATGGGCCAATAAGTACGCAGCATGGTGCTTGACTCCAAAGTATTGCACCATCGTCCCGGGTGTGGTATTCTTGTTAAGGGTGTGGGAATGCTCCTAAATGATGTGCAAGTTTAACCAATAAGTTACCATCCTTGGCAGCTGGTGTATGTCCAAATGGCAAGTAAATATCCTGCTCTGTTTTTAGAACTTTGGGATAGGATGCACAGACTGAGTTGACGAAATGAACGCAATAAAATACAGGAGGATAGGCTATTACACATATAAAACAGTCCTCACATTAAAATTATAGCGATGCCACGAGAGAGAATAACCATAAACTCACTGTTAAATGCAACAGAAAGTATATAACCGTCGCTATAATGTACAGTAAGCTGTGAGGAGTTTTATAAAAGCTGGACTCATCACCAATGTTTGAACCATCATCAGCATTTCTGAGGACTGAATTCTGGCAATAGCTTTTCATTTTCAAAGGCTTTCTTGCTCACATTTCCTCCAGAAACAACTCCCCACGTTGCCGTTCTAAAAGCCCTGAGTGAAAGATGGTGCTATAAACTGGAACGATCATTGTTAAGGCACATTTTGAAACGACAAAGTAATATTATTTTCCACTGTGACATATGATGTTGAATCTTTGCTCTTTCTTTGCTGGCTTGCTCAACCTTATTACTGTTAAAAGTGTATGAGTAATTCATTCACTTTTGTCTTACCAAAGTACGTTAGCCACCAGGCCTGGAAGTCACAAAGCGATCCCTCCGGATGTGACTCACCCTGGGGAAGGAAAGAAAAACGGCGCAGGGAAAAAAAGGATTTCACAAACCACCCACAAAAGCCACTATTTGTGTGTTTAATGAAACAGACGAGAGTAACTCACCATGACATATGCTACGCTGTCAAAGAAGGCAGCTACAGTCAGGCTGAGAATCATCTTCTGTACAGCAAAAATAAGAGGAAGACATGAAGAGGGATTCTCTAACAAAACAGCCCTTAAATATCCCAGTGCATTCACATTCGCTTAGAGACAAGGGCAAATTATACATCAAATGATTACTGATGTGGCTGACAGCTTGGCATACGATGTCCCCGGTGACAACTCTGTGAAAATATCACAGAAGAGAGAGTCTCCTTAATTCCTTCGATATAAACTGAAGTCATTATATTTTATATGAAATAAATCAATAACCTGTGTACGGCATTTTGAAAGGGTAGCTGTGATGCATGCCAGCTGTCAGCCTATAGGTGGTTACGAATTGTTGCTGTTGTAGCTATATAAAGAGTAAGATAGATTAACACAAATACACACGCAGCCCTGAATCAATTTGTGTCCAGCGGTGACCCTGCCGAGCCTGCCGAGGTTGAGGAGGAAGAGGGGGAGGAGACAGGAGGGCCAGAGAGCATTAAACAATATTGACTGATGGATAACCTTTGTGAGGGGATGGAGGTAAGGAGAGGGTTTATGTGGTGCGAGAGGAAGAAGAGGAAGAGCAGGAGGAGGTGACACCACTGCGACCTGGATCCGGAGGTAGCAGGATCCCTCAGAGCCCTACATTAAAGCTGTCATTTACTTCAGATAGATAGAAGATAATGTGGAACACCGCTAAACCTGACGGACCTGCTGGACTGGCTTCAAAAACACAGCACAGGCTGCACACTCAAATACGCTCTGATCCTTTCAGTTAAAGGAAAACATACTTAAATTGGAGGAAAAATACCATCTTACTGATATTATTCAGTGCATAGTCAGACCTAACATATAATGCAAACCTCTTCATTTGGAGAGGGGAAACAGCACAAGACAGCAGTCATTATCACAGAACAACCATGAGTCAATTAACTCCACAATTGATTAATCTGTGCATTTTTAATTGGGTTCAATTATGCCAAGATTTGCCATGGCTAATTGAACTTATTTCCTGTGGCAATGAAGCAAACAGAAATGGGGGGAAAAAAGAGAAAAGAGAAAACATACTGTACATTGTAGTGCAAATTTACCTGAGCCAAAGAATGATACCTGCGAAGCAGCCAGATCACTAACAGCATGAAAATGCTGTGGAGAGAGAAGAAAGACAACAGTAAGATGTTTCTTGCTAACTAACGATTTGAGCAGAACAGGCCAACTGCTGTTCTAATGATGATATACTGTCTTACTGCACATAAATACATCATAACAACTCCAGCCCTCATCCCTGCATGCTCTCTCGTAACCTTTATTCTAACGGCTGCTTTAGCTTGTAGCAAGATCACTGACCATTACAGCATTACAACGCCTGTTAAGACTGAAAGTAATGAAACTTGCGTTAGTGTCACAAACCCGCCAAAGACCTGCTTAGCAACATTTGATGGACCAAAAAAGCACAGCTAAATGTTGAAGCCCAAAGGTAACGATGCAATTCATCAAATGGCCACTAGATATCACTTCTGACATCACAACTGACTATTGAAACAATGGGGAAACCTCCAATGACTTCTTTGAAATTATAAATCATTTTTTCTCAGAAGATTAGGGTTCCAACATACTAATTTCCCATGTTTTGTTCTTAAAAAGTATTGTTCAATTAAACTGATATATTGTACTACAGTCTATAGCCCTGGGTCTGAGTTGGAGAAACTTTGAGATGAATAATTTAGTTTCATTAGGAAACAACATTTTAAACAAAAATCTTAAGCGCCAACGCTGCAGTTACGTCTACAGTACCACTTTTTATGAATGGATATAGACTTAAACTTCCTAGACATTAGACATAAATTGGACAGGGTGCAGCAAATTAGCCTGGCATCGCCAGACCAGAGCAAATAAAGCATGAGCTCGCAGATTCATCTGGTTCCCAGGCTAGCGGCCAATACAACAAAATGTAAACCACAGCTTCTAAAATTAACAAAGGCGTTACTACAGAGGGACTGTTTAAGGGTCACATTAGTTTGCTTCTAAAACTTTACAAGGACCCTTCTTCCACCACCCACCCTGAAAACACACCTTACATCTATTACAGTTTGACTTTGTTACAGTTACTTTTCTAACAGTTCTACTCAGATATAAAGTCCAATGATTGATAGAACGTATATATCAGTGTATGAACAGTTCAACTGTCTGGTGTTAAAGTCAAGGGTTCAAGACAAAGTATCATTTGAGAAAGAAATAATGAAAAGAAATATTTACCATCCTACTAAGGAGAAGGTTCCTGTGGCCCTTTTTACTGTTAAAATCACCACCTGTAAGTCAGAAGCAATTGATTACTCTATGGCTCACATCAATAAATAATAAAAGCAAAACATTAAAGTGTATGGTTGACATCTGCATTACAGACTGTGCGTTTTGTTTTAAAAAAGCGCAGTGCAAACATATTGAGAAGTGCAATACAAATCCTATTCTGTCATCATTCTAATCATGACCTTATAAATTACGGGTTGACAAGACTGTCATTTGTTCAAGCATGTCTTTTTGTGTACTTGTTAGCGAGCATGTGTACAGAAAGTATAATCATATGGAATCTGCACACACTTCAGGCAACCCGAGCATCCGAACCGCAAACATTTGCAATGTACGGACACCTAAGATGTCTAAGGTGTCACCTCCGCATTTTAACATGCAATAAAGGGCGGACAGCTGTTAAATGACAGCAATTGTGCAAAGCAACATTCAAGCCGAAACTGATCTGTGAGCTACTTAGAGAGAAACGAGAAAAAGACCTAAGGAATGAAAAGAATGAGATATTGTTGCTGCGTCTTTCAGCCACACAATGTCACACGGCTGTTTCCATGGAGGAGTCACAACACAAGCAGCCTTCAAGCAGCCTGATAATCACCTCTGCAAAAACACTGTCGCCCTACATAGAAAACAGGAAACAATCGGCAAAAAAGCCAGGAAACGTGACTGTTTTTATTAAATGTATGGAAGCAGATTTCAAGCTTTATCCAGTCATTTTCTTTTTACAGTAAGGTACGCTTTCTGGATACACTTAAACTGCACAGAAAGGATTTGATTCACTAAGAGGGATAGATTACTGCCATTTTTTCTCTAAGGCCTTTTCCCAGTTTATTACTGTTTTAATTACATTTGAATGATGGCTCCCAACATGGAACTGCAGGAGTGTTAAAAAGGCTCAGACTCTGCACTTTGTTACAAATTGTTTCATAAATAGTGCATGAGTGATCTTGCTTTCGGAAAAAAGTTAATTATGCTATTTTTGGGATGGATTCTTCTCCTTATGATATGCAAGTCACACAAACATCTGTATCATAGTTATCATGGGCAAATACATCATCATGAGTTACCCTCTATTTTCACCCCTATTTTACCAAAAAAGGATAAGCCATAAACTTATTTAGGACAGCTTTATCAAATGAACAAAGATCTGACTGTTCACTTCAAGTGTACAGTAATGTTCAGCAGTAGGGCTGCAACCAACAGTTTACTATGGATTAACCTGCCAATGATTTTCTTGATTAATCATTTGGTCCATAAAATGTCAGCAAATAGTTAAAAAAAAAAACAATAGATCACAATTTCCAAAAGCTCTATGTGATGTCTTAAAATTGATTGTTTTGTCCGGCCAACACTCCAAAACCTAAACATTCTCGGTTTATTATCAGAAGATAAAAAAAGAAAAGCAGCAAATCCTCACATTTAAGTGTCTGGAACTGGGAAATGTTAAGTATTTTTACTTGAATAAGAATTACTTTAGTGATTAGTCCATTATCAAAATACTGCTGATTATTTTTGCGTTTATTGACTAATCAATTAATGACTAATCATTTCAGCTGTGTCACCAGTGGTTCTCAAACTATGGTATGTGTACCACTGGTGGTAAGCGAGCTGGCTCTAGTGGTACGCAAAGAAATCTCTGAAATATCTTTTTAATAACTAAATTAATTTTAAAACATATAGCACTATCTAAATATTTTTTTTTTTAAAAAGGAAAATACTCCAATAAGTTTTGCATTTTCTGTAATATTTGGTTTCAAAGTCTGCTATGTAGTCAGGTTCATACAAGTAGTGCGTGCATACCTCTATGATTAGAGACTAAAATATGACAGCAAGATTGTAAACAGAGGTAAAATGCAGAAGGTAAAAACACTGGCTCCAAAGAAGAACTATTAAGAAGAGAAGCGTGGATCAGGAGAACCATTTTCCACCAAATTAGTTTTGGTTCTTGAACCGGCTGCGTTCATGATCCGGCAACAGTCAACAATACATAATCTTCTTATTGGAATAAACCTGCCTCTTGCATGAACTGTCTGTAGCT